AAGTATCTACATTTTACCTCGTTATTCATCTGGGTTAGGATGACTGGAAAAAAAAGATATTTTAGAAGTTTGAGCAATAGATACTAAGTTTCAGTCCCTATTTGGTACCAGATCAAATCAAATCAAATCATCTTTATTGTGGTCACTTCCCTCGTACTAGTCTTCCCTCTTTAACGAGGTACCAGTTTTTTGAAGTCTGGTACCAAATAGATACTTAAATTTGGTATTGCTCAAAATTGCATCCTGACCCAGACCGTTAAACATTCTGCACGCAATCATGGACCTACAGGCAAAAATAAGTTAGCTATACCGCAATTCAGACTGTCCAAAGTACAAAAATCCTTTATGGGGTTAGGTATTAAATGCTATAATAAAATACCAAACAGCATACCAGATCTCAATGAAAGTAAATTTAAAACATATATTAAGCGCGAATTATGTAATCAAGCTTACTACACACTGACAGATTATCTTGAAGATAAGAATGCTTGGCAGCATGTTGGTTCGGCTCCACTGGACAATACTCAAATGTAGTCAGTAGTTAAATTCCAATAGTAGGTAATATAATACATAATTTAATACTTTAATTCTAATGTAGACAATCTAGTTTCCTTATGGCATCGAGCATTTCTTTCTTTATTGAAACAAAGAGTTTCCTTTTTCTTGTATAGAAGCACTATTTCTATGGATTGTCAGTATGCATATGTGAGCACCATGTTAGACTTAAGATTTGTATTTTTTTTATTTTAGTAAGTTATTAGTATAATGCCTCAAGCGTGTCTTTGCATTGTTCTTACTAGAGACCGGATAGTATGCATTTGCATATTTGCATATGCATTTGCATATTTAAGCGATTTTCAAGGCTAATAGCATATTTTTACTAATATCTAGTGACGATGCATATTATTGCTATAATTTACAGTAGGTAGGTATTTTTCGAGCGTAGCGCACTCGGCAGCCGCGCGTATTTTGTTTTGGTAGGTACTCAAAAAATGAAAGAGACAAAGTTTTTGTGTGTGTACAATGCATCCCGAAAAAAAAAGTTTGTCTTCGTGGATAAGTTTCCTGGAACATTTAGATACTTACGACGGAAATGTTTTATATTGTCGAGTTTGCGATAAAAACATTTCGTGCACGAAAAAGTTTCAAATAGACCAACATGTCAAGACAAGTATTCACGTCGCAAAATACTTAAATCTAATGGAATAATATTTACAAAACAAAAAAAACTCATTTAATGTTGCATATTCTGTCTGTTTTCGTGCATATTTTAGGCATTTTTCATGCATATTTGCATGCATATTTTAAGCTTTTTATGTTGCATATTATCCGGTCTCTAGTTCTTACATATGCGTACAGTAGGTATTGAAATATGTATCGGAGACATTGTAGAACATACTTTTTTTAAAAAGAGTAACGAATGTAGTTTCTTGCTCGTTCTTCTCCATTCGAATCTACGTTTTGGAATGAGCACCTAGCTTCACCTAATTTCACTGACGGACTGACTGACAGACTATTATTTATTTTGTATTTGTTGACGTTTCAAAAGTACCAAACTATGGTTTAATTGAAATAAATGCTTTGACTTTGACTTTGACCTACTCGAGAATAATATAGGCGGGGCAAGAAATGAATTAGGTACCTATTTTTTTACTTGAAAGCTTGTTACGTCAATATTTTGCTAATAGATGACAGTGGTTCCCACATTCTATTGTCTTACAGAGATCGTAGTGACGTGTCGCGGTGACCCCGGACATGGTTCTCTGCTCAGCTCAGACACTGCAGGTGAAAAGGTCAGTGGATTGCAATATTCCGATTCTTTGACGATACCTTTATGTGAATAGTAAATGTACTGACGGAAGGAACAGATAAATGAGGTTAGGAATGATCTGAATATAGGAGACTTGCCCAGTTGCCAACGAGAGATAATTCATACAATTCTAACTACTCTCGGGCATTTCGCTTCTACTAATCAAAGCGTGAAGTAAGTATTGTCCTATAACTTGAGCCTATAACCTTCCTTGATAAATGGACTTCACCACAAAAATAATTATTGAATTTGAACCAATAATTCCAGAGACTAGTGCGTTGAAGCCAAAGCAATCAAACTCTTCAGTTTTGATTGCCCCGGCTTCGAACGAGTACAATATGCATGTATTCTATACATTTAAACCTTTCTTAAGAATCACTATATCTAATAAAACTAATAAAAAACCGCTTCAAAATGCGTGTCGTAGTTTTAAAGATCTAAGCATACATAGGGACAGATATACGGCGAATAGCGACTTTGTTTTATACTATGTAATGAATTGCAGTTTTGGTACATTTCTCTAAAGCCCTTCTTAGTTGCCAATCTCGTGTTCTTGTTCACAGTTGCATTACATCATAAACAAGTTCATGACGCTTCGTGCTGAGGAAAAGAGCAAAGTGGACAGCGGCACTTGGGTCGGAGACATTACCACGATCAACTTGACACAACTATCGGTAAGTTATATTAATTTCACTCGAACGACTCAAAACATCCATGAGCTCATTGTTCCAACTCCTCTAAAAATAAATGTTTGGTTATGGTCCTTAACTTGAAGTTATAAATGCACGAAACGAATGGATCGCTCTTCATTACTGACGTACCTACATTTCTCATTAAGCTAAGAGTACACTGAGGGATCGGCGACATGTCACGAAGCCGGTAGACTTCGACTGACATTTATGGCAATAACGTGCGAAGAGGAAGCATAAGTCCCGCAATGTCGCTTGTGAGACGTGTCGCAGAACATCTCCTAGTGTATCCTATCCTTTAAAGCTCATACAAATGAACATTTTTGTTTCAGGGCGGTGTCCAGATAAATGTACTCCCTGAAAATTTAACAGTGTCATTCGATATCAGAATAGCTCCTGACGTTGATCATGATGAATTTGATGATATGGTAAGTAGCTCGTGATATGTTTGTGTAACAATAAGTTCTATAGTAATTCTGTCATTCATTACTTCAGCCATAAGATGTCTACACAACATGGTTTAAGTTCCCTCAAACAACTTCCATCAATGGACGACGCTTTTTGAAAATAACTACCTAAGCTATTCTCAAAAGAATATTAAATCAGATACATTCCCTGGTATGACTCATAATAACTATTTTTATCGTATATTTGTACAGATATCTAAATGGTGCAAAGAAGCCGGTGATGGGGTAACTTTCGAATACGTGGTCAAAAACCCACAAGTTAAAAATACAAAAATAGACGGCAGCGTCCCTTTCTGGGATGTTATGAAAAATGTGGTAGTGGACATGTAAGTAGTACCTTTAAGAATATGATTATATGCTTAATAATAACAATAATTTAATTTGCCTTTTTTGAAAGCTGATAAAACTGACGTAGAATCAAATGGTAGGTAAATGATGAGAGCATCGACGTCATGGATGAAAATATTCCTATATATAGATTGAAGACTTGAAGACTTGGTACATTATATTGTTATTTTATTTTAGGGGATATACAATAAAGTGCGTGATATGCCCGGGTGCAACAGACGCGCGTCACGTGCGACGTCAGGGTATTCCAGCCATCAACTTCTCCCCAATTTTGGAGACTCCCATGCTACTACATGCCCACAACGAACGAATACATGTAGATATGTACAAAAAAGGAATCGACATTTTCGAGAATGTTCTCGTAGCTATTGCTAACGTCCCATGAAATATTAAGTAAAATATTTTAATCTATATAATTATAATTTATAAAATGTACTAGGTACGTATATTCTGAGGAAAATAAAACTATAATGTATGACTATATCATGAGTTTTTTCAAAAATAATGCATATTTTATTTAGCCTTCCAACTTTTTTGTATAATTTGTATTGCTTGTAACTTAACGTTCATACATTCAGGCACAATCATATAAATAAATCTGATTAAAAAATATTTACACCAAACACAAATGTACACCAAAAAACTTAGACAATGGATATTTAAATCTCATAGCTACATATTTGTAGCAAAACTCACTTAGATTCTACTTGTTTATTACCTGTAGGTAGATTTTATATTGGTATAGGAGCTAGCAACGTTTTCGAGAAAGAATTTTAGGTCTGCTGATTTTGTGATATGTCGTCCTTCTTGCACTTTCGGTTAGCGTCTGGGCTATCTGGCTGGCGGTAGCGGTTGCGTTCTTTAGTGCGCATCCTACCTGTCCAGGTAATTATTCTGGATTTTAAAAATATTTTAGAAGTCGTAATTTTTATTTTTTGTTTTTAAATAAGTCTACCTGAAATACTTTTTTTATTGCCAGACATTTTTGACAATGCTAACTATGTGCCAGACGCGATTTTGTGTTTCTTTTTATTAAAATTTCAAAGTATTTTATAATGTCTGTAATTTTAATATTATGTTATTTAAAGATAAAAAAAACTTAAAATAAATTTGCCAGACATTAATTCGATTGTTAAGTCTTGAATTAAAATGAAAAAGTCATGAAAAGTATTGCAGTATAATGCTAGTAGTCCGAGAGAGTCAGTTGCAGAATAAGTTGAGAATGATACAGAGAACCATTACGAAAGTAAATGACTTTTCATTGTGCATATAATAATAAATAATAATAATAATAAGATTCAAATATCGAACCAAATCCCCTCAATTAAATGAAACTCACTTGGCTCAGGCCCGTGATTTCATTAAATAACCGGTATTTTTATAATGCCGAGAAAAACTTAATTTCGAAGATAATAATAATCATTCTAGTCCGAGCAAGTTTGAAAAAAAATTTAAGCATAAAAAGGAATATAAAATTAGATTAAAATTTAAAAAACATCACTTTTTATTTAAATTGTTCTGATTACTAATTAAAAATTATAAAATAATAAATATTAAGTTTTTCAAGTTGTTTCAGCCTATAGTGACGTCACAAAAAAGAGGCATCTTCATAATCATTATCATCATCATCGTCGCTGTCTTTGTCAGTGTCATTCATATCATGTTCTTGGGAATTTTCGTTATCTTCTAAAACTCTATCATCTGCAACAGAAAAAAAAAAAAAAAGTGTAATTCTTCTTGTTCGTTATAAAGCATTTTAGTTATTATTAACAAATATTCCATTTCACACTTACTTTGAACAATAATATCTGCAACTGAGGATGGTAATTGATCTCCCAAAAACCAGACAAAATCATATTTGTCACCATTAATGGTCCAACCGAAAGCCATTGGAGATAAAGATGTTGGATGTTTTGAGTGAGAATTTCTCCAAATTTTCGTCACGTAACGAACCCTCAATAAATGCTGTTGCAATTCCGCTTTACAGGGTGGCAAACTGGATGAGTCAAAGTTTCGAAATTTTTTGTCGAAGTTCTCATCTGATTTTTTTGACTTAAACGTACTTGAAAACAAATGAAATCGAACATCATTGACATTGGAACAATTTTTAACTCCATACATTTGACAAATAAATTTCTCCAGGGTTACAAACGTAGTTTCAAGTACTTCATCGTCATCCGTAATTATATTATCAAAAGCTAACTGGTATTCTTCAGACGTTTCTAATATTTTAAAAGGCTTAACTTTGCCTTTTCTAAATAAAGCTGGCGTGTAATCACATCCGGTTATTGCGTGGAAGCATGGTAAAGCTTTGCATAAAGAGTCACCAAGAATTCGGTGTAATTCATTGATGTTTATGTAACGCTGATGATTTCCAACACCCATATTTATCCAAATTTTCAAAGATGCTTTCAGATGATCCATATTTCCCAGAAGTATAATTAAAATATCAGAATCAGAACAGCGTATAACAACGTCTGCGTCAAAATCGATTTGGCAAATATGAAAAATAATCCTAGAATCAGCTTCTTCGTGTTCTTCACACGATAATGATTCTTCAATAGCTTTAATTACTTTGTTATTTATCACTTTGTATGAATAACATTTATTGAAACTTACGTAAATATTTTTATTACCAATGAAAGGCAACATGTCTTCACTACCCCAGTGATCAATGAAAAAGTTAACTAAAGCTTCTTTAAATTGCACATTTTTAAGTTCAGCTGCGAAATGATGGGGCCGAATTCTGTTAGGACCGATTGATAGCATTATACTGCAATACTTTTCATGACTTTTTCATTTTAATTCAAGACTTAACAATCGAATTAATGTCTGGCAAATTTATTTTAAGTTTTTTTTATCTTTAAATAACATAATATTAAAATTACAGACATTATAAAATACTTTGAAATTTTAATAAAAAGAAACACAAAATCGCGTCTGGCACATAGTTAGCATTGTCAAAAATGTCTGGCAATAAAAAAAGTATTTCAGGTAGACTTATTTAAAAACAAAAAATAAAAATTACGACTTCTAAAATGTTTTTAAAATCCAGGATTATTACCTGGACAGGTAGGATGCGCACTAAAGAACGCAACCGCTACCGCCAGCCAGATAGCCCAGACTCTAACCGAAAGTGCAAGAAGGACGACATATCACAAAATCAGCTGACCTAAAATTCTTACTTTCCAAACGTTGCTAGCTCCCGTACTATATATTGTTTTCGCTAGGAGATGAAATGATGTAGGTGCAAAAAAATCTTGCAATCTTCAATAAATTGTCTAATGCCAATCTACTAACGACTATCTTCTTAAAAATATCATAAATCCGCTGCAGGTGTTCATTGCCCAATTTTGTCTTATTCCGTCTCTATCCTAGTCGCTGTCGTTTGTATCATATTTATCTCGGTTACTTTTCTTACTAGTCGTACTTTTAATACTTTCATTGCTTTGTTTTTTCATTTTTTTACGTGCAATTTCTGCTGGTTGTTCTGGTTGCTCCAAAATGTTAGTTTTGCTTGATGTCCTTGATAATTTTCTACTCGTCCCCGGCTTATCTGATGTATCAGAAATACCTTCCAGTTTCCCTTTCCCAGTGATATGGTCGGGCCTTTCCTTATTTTTCAGTTCTTCAATATTTTCTTTAGAACCTTGCTTTCTACGACTTTTAATTGTTTTTGCGAGTTTAACAATTTTTTGAAGGAGAATGGTATCGGCACTTGGTCTTGGAACATTTTTATTATCAGCATTCAGGTTGAGTTCTGAACTGGCTTTTTTATTTTTTATTGATTTGTTTGATTTCTTCCCATCTAATTTGAAAATAGAATTCGCTAAATTTATCACATCAGCAGAAGTTGCTGCTAAAGTTTTCTTCGTAACATCTTTTATCTTATTTGAGGTACTACTTTTCGTTTCAAGTTTGGAAAGGTTTGTTCTCTGCGAAACCAAGGTTGGTCGTAGATCGCTATAATACTCTTCGATTTCCTGCAACGTCAAATTCTTTGTTTCCGGCAAAAAGATATATATGAATATAACGCCTGTAAGTAAAACCCAGATGTTATAATATGCACAGATTTTTAAGTGTGTATGTTAGTATTAAAATTTTAAAGAGAAATATTAAACCTTAACCTATTTCACTAAATAGAACAATAATCTTCAATTCCTAAATATATGATAAAATAGATATTAAGTGTATATAGTATTCTCCTACAATATCAGAATAGCATAAACACATATCTGATGATAAAGTACCACTTACCCAGTAAGGAGGCGATGCCAAAAATCAACATCGTATTTGTAAGGCCGATATTATCCATCATAAAGGGAGTCATTTTGAGGCTACCAAATATTAAAAGACTGGCAATCGTTGTTGTCATACCACCAAGTAGACCCCGATTCTGAAATTTTTAAACTCTACTTCAGTCCATGTATTATCTAAGATGATAGACTTAAGTCAAGCGAGGAGATGTATCAATACCAATTTTGGGTGATAAGTTTTATTTAAGCAAACCAAAAATGTTTTACAACAGCGGAGAATAACGCTCTTCGATTTTAATACTTTTATAGTTAAAAGTTAGGTATAAAAGAATACCGTTTAGTAAAACGGTAAAGGCTACAGTCAGAATTCAAGTTCTATTTAAAGAAACTTAAATCACGTGCCCTCTATAATTTTTGGAAAATAATAATATTTGCTTACTCATCATTATCAACAGCCTATAAGTGCCCACTGCTGAGAAAAGCCTCTTCTCACACGGAGAAGGTTTGAGCATTAATCACCACGCTTTGGCGATTTCAAACTTATAATTAGAAATTATAAGCCCAGGTTTCCTCACGACGTCTTCCTTCACCGCTGGTCAGTGATGTCTAAGAAAGTACATATAACTCGGAAAAGTCATATTGGTACTTGCCGTTGGTAGGTTTCGAACTGGCCCCCTTGTGCATGAGAAGCGGGTGTCATCAACCTCCGGGCCACCACAACACCTTGTCCCCGATATTTGCTTACTGTGTGACATAAATCAAGAAACAAACTTACCTGTAAAGGATATACTTCAGAAGCCATAAGAAAAGGTAAGGTGAAGTATCCGACACTAGCAAAAGCCATGTAAGCCATGAACAATATTTGTGGAACCAAGCTAGGCTCTGTATAACTAGATATATACGTTGCTATAGCTAAACAGGTCACTGCAACTCCTAAAGCTGAAAAGTAATTAAGTATATTATTTTACTTGTAGAACCAAAGATATTAAAAACGAACTGCCAATTATTTCTTAAGAATTTGATGTACACTTTTTATACAAAAATGTTGACCTAAACTAGGATTTTCTCCTAAAAAGTGAGTTTTTCCAGAAAATTGCGCCGTGTGGAAATCTAACCCGCTATACGCGCGTAAGCCGGTGGCCCAGCCACAGCAACAACCGTGCAGTCAATTAATCTAATCTTACCAAGGATGCTAAATAATAACGTTTTTATACCTGATACCAGTGCCAAAGGTCTTCTCCCAACTCTGAAAAGTAGTATTGAAGTGAGGACAATTCCAATCAATCTAGTGAGGCTCATTAGAAAATTACCAGTATTCACATCAATTGAAGAATTCGATTCCTAAAACAAAAATTTAATAGGCAGGTGTACTTAGGATTTTTTCTGTGTGTCTCTATTTTGTTATCAGCCGGACTTCATCATTAGTATCACCCGATGTCGACTATTAATCAAAGGCTTTCCCTTTAGTCCTCTACATCAAACGACTCCTCCCCGCGACTCTGACATTGTCATCGTTCCACTTAGCGGATGGCTTGTCCACTTTGGTCCAGAAAAATGTTCCACTTTCCTGGCCTAAAACCTCATCATCCTTTAAGACATGCTTGTCCCAAATACGAATACAACATAGCTGAAATCAGCTAGAAGATTCTATAAAATGTGCTGTGTCTCATTCATTTTTAGCTCATATACGAAAGAAAAAATATCGTTCATTTTATTTAACTTCCATTTCTCAATAATTCTAAATAACATTTCTTTCTCATTTGCAAACAACCAACCAACGAGACATAAATGTATTACCGTCAACATTTCCACCGCCCATATCATGACACTAGAAGTGCCTGTGATCTGGGTGAAAAATAAAAACACCACAATTAGAGTGAAGGGTTTGCACGACGAACGTGTGAACAACAGTGCTAGACGCTTACGAGCGCTTAGTCTGAAATATATGCAATACACATAGTTAGTTTTATAAAAACAATCTCCTATTAAGCTCGTCAGTATAATATAGAAGCGGTAAGATACATAATATTATAGCTATTACCAAAGAATCGTATTTTCATAAATTTGTAGTCAAAAGCAAGGATGTGACTCTTTATTTATAAAATTGCGGTGAAATTACAACATACGTACGAATATCCATATCCTCCTTATATTCCTTTATTTGTTCCATTTCCTTATCAAAGTCGTAGTTCCGAGCCCTAAAATGTTTGAGAGCAACTCGAGCTGCGGCCACATTTTTAGTTTTCAACATAAAATACGGTGTTTCGGGCAAAAAGAAGAAAGACAGGAAGTTAGCAATCGTGTAGATACTGCAGATGTAACAGATGATAGGCCAAGTTAGAAATTGGCCCAGTCCAGCCTAAAAAAGTGCACAAACATTAATCAGAATAACTTATATTTTTGAGATAATAAATCCTCTTCTGCTACCTCTGTTATTTCTGAATCTCCATAGCCATATGCTCAACGCGCTTAAAGGATCTGATTTCTCAAAAAGCGCTGCAGCCCGATTTCTGTCAAATGTATTGTAGACTCTTAATCGGATCTTACGCAACAGAGACAGTATACATAAATACCTGTATACTTATACCGATGGAAATGGCCAATGTAGAAAAGGACCCAATAACTCCACGCATATTAGGTAAGGATATCTCAGAGGCGAATATTCTCGGCGGTGTCATAGCCATGCCGCTTCCAATTCCTGTTATTGCCCTTCCTATAATTTTAAAATATTTGGTTATAGATTTTTAATATTGAAAACTATTATTGTAGAAACCCTGAACTACGTATAATATTTATTACTCCAGTTTCTCCATAAATATGAAACTCATCAATAAGTATATACTTACCGATAATAACTTGTTTGGTACTTTTAGCGAAGCCAGTGCACAACCAACCGATGCATATAGGGAATTGGCACATGATGATCATAACTCGGCGACCGAGCCAGTCGGTCACATAGCCACTGATCAAACACCCAACAGGGGAGAATAGAGTGAAGACACTGGCTGAAAAATGTTATGACAAGTACAAAAAGGGATTGGGAAAGCAAAAATACTATAGTGCAACAGGAATGATGTAGCGATGGTTTGTTTTGTTAGCGATTGCACTATTGCTACATGTTATCAGCTCCTTAAGAGTGTAATGAATTCATGTGAAAGAGAATTCGAAACCTCTTCAGGGCCAATGTGAGCATTTAAAATAATGGAGTTTTCAGGTTAGTTAAGTTTCTGTTAGATGGTATTGATTACTTAGAAACGAATACATTGGATGGAAACTTATCACTCACCAGAAAAGTAAGTAACTACAGCTAATATTTTATTCACTTATTTAACACGTTAAGTGATTAAAGGTCGCTCAAAAATCGACTAGGCTTAGCTTTACAAGTGTACTTTTGAGTTTGAGTGGAGTATGCTGCTCAGTAATGTCGAGGATGTGTCAGGTTCTAGTGCAAGTTTCTATGTATAATTCACCAAGAAAAATGGAAAGTATATGAAACCAAAAAAATCATAAAGCGAATTTTAAGTGGGTAATACTAACATATCGTACGTAACACAAAGACAAAGCTTGAGAATATCTCACCTATCCAAGAAGCCTCACTTCTCGTGACTTTTATTAAGGAATCTCCTGCGGACAGCTGCGGTACCTGAACGGACGGCAATGCAAAAGCCAGGCCAATACCAAGGTGACACAAATTCACCCAAAGTCCATAGAATAATTGGATTTGTGACGTCTTTGTCCAAAATCCAGGATCTAATTTTATATTTTTATCTGGAACAGTCTTCATTTTCTTTGAGCGTTTATCTCAAGTTGTTGTTATTGCAATTTAAAAAATAATTTGGCGGGGGTTTTTACATATAATTTGTCGCCCAAAACAACTCACACTCTTAAAAAGCAATAAACCGACTTCTAGTTCATTAGCTCTTTCATCAGAAATCATAATTTTTTTACTTTTGTAAAAATATCAAAATGTCAAATCGTTCTGACATTTTTTGTCAAAGACTAAACCTCTTTTTCAACGTCCTTCAGTACAACTTTTACAACATCAAAATTGTCTATAAAAAGTTTACATCTAAAGTAATTAGTCCAATAATAGATAAGAATTTAACTTATGAAATAACCAAAAACGTTGAAGAAAGGTATAAAGAACACGATAATCTAAGCACTATGGGTTATCCTGAGAGCGGTTAACCACATATTAATAATTATTATTTAATGATGTAAATAAACGAAGAATAAACAATGAAGATGTTATATTTTGTGCTAGCAAATAGCATATTATCCATAGTGTTGAAAAATCCTCCATATCTTTCTTGTTTGTTAAGTGTCCTTCAGTTTTAATGTTGTTGTTAACTGTAGATATGTAGGTACGTAAAATTCTCTCTGCTTTATTTCTCTTCTTTATCTTTAGTACTTCTGCTGTATCAACTTTATGAACTATTAAAATGTTCTTTAACTCTATTACTTGTTTTAGTAAGATTAGTAATATTGTCTTTCAGCGTGAGTTTTCACTTGCAAAAGGCTAAAAATCCCGATGAGGCACGTCGAGATTTTTAGTACAATTATTTTATTAATTCTTCCTACGTTAATGTGATGTGACCATTTGTTTATTGTGTGTCTTTATAGCTGAACTTTTCATAACGTTCCATTTCATCTGCCTTTCGGACGTTTATGACTCTTTAACTAGGTTATTTTGTAAGATGACAATTCAAACTCTCGAAGTGAGCTCGATCACATTCTCGTCCGTCATTTCTCGAGTTTATTCTCACAACCAATGAAATGGCGGACCGCTACAGAATAGCTTAACAAATCAGAATCTGCACTTGTTTCTGGAAGTTCGTGTTAATAGTACTATTATCTTCAAGGTCAATGACAAGCTTAAGTTCTGTAATACCTTTTGTATCTCTCTAGGTTTTAAATCTCATTCTAAGTTTGCTTTAAGCTATAGGATCTTCTTAGGTTTATAATTGTCTCTGAGACACCAATGTCGGACGGCGTTTGTTGTAATATTCTTCAATTTCCTGTAACGTTAAACCTTTCGTTTCTGGTAAAACGAAATATAAGTAGACGACACCTGGAAGTAAGCACAGGATGTTGAATACCAATTTATTACTACATATCAAAAAAATGTCTATCATCTTTCATTAAACATTAGCCCATTTAATGATAATGTGCGGCTTACCCAATAAGGAACTGATTCCAAAGATCACCATTGTATAAGTAAGACCAAGATTATCCAGCAAGGTGGGAGTTAATTTGATGCTGCCAGATATTAAGAGACCGGTGATAAATACTGTTATACCAGCAAGAATTCCTCGAACCTGCATTATTTACACCAATAATTATTTAAAACAAATTCTGAGATCGTTGATGGCTCGTTTAAAGGTATTATATAAAGGGAGCTGCTGGATGCAGGTCACTTCCAATCGGCCTGTTTGGCAGTCATCGGAGGAGGCCTATGTGTAGCGGTAGACATCTTATATGACTGATATGGTGATAATGATGATATAATATCAAACTCACTTGTAGAGGATATATTTCAGAAGCCATAAGAAACGGTAGCACATAGTATCCGACACTAGCAAAAGCCATGTAGCTCATGAACAATATTTGGGGAGGCAAGCTTGGCTCCTTATGAGTCGATGTATAAATCGCGATAACCATACTGACCACTGCAACTCCCACAGCTGTAGGTAATATTAACGTTGAAATTATAATGTTGAACTACAATTAAAACTTAGTCCTTCAGAATTTGGTCGATAAAACTTTTTGGTTTACTATTACATGAGAATAAGATATTCCTTTAAATTTGATGTCTTCCTAAAGAAAAGGCTCCTCAATTCGTAAGGTTTTAAGTAAAGTCACTCATTGCAAATGACCTTCAATCGAATCATTTTTAAATGAGTCATACCCAGATATTAATATAACATATGTAGAAACACAACACTTACTACATTTGTTTCACAATTACCTGATGTATGCGCCAGAGGCCTTCTCCCGACTTTGAAAAGAAGTATTGAAGTGAGAACGTTTACGACCAATCTAGTCAGGGTCATTAGAAAATTACCAGTATTCACGTCGACGGAGGACTTGGCTACCTAAAACCAAAATTTTGACCAAATATCGTTTTTACTATAGCGGTGACCGTATATAATCTTGATTTACCACTATCTTTATTTTACAACAATTAAAACTAAAGTTTTACTAGCGATCACGCGCTGAATCGTCATTTTCCAAGACTGGAATTGGATGTTACCGTCAACATTTCCACAGCCCATATCATAACTCCAGATGTACCACAAATCTGGGAGATAAAGATATACACTATAATTACGGTGAAGGGTTTGTATGCCGAGCGGGTGAACAACAGGGATAGCCGCTCACGGGCGCTTATTCTGAAAAATGTACAATAAAAGTAAACTCAAGACTTAGACAAGACCATTGACAAGACTTCGAATTGGGAAGAGAGAAGAAAAAAAAATGTGAAGGACAGATTTAATAATGCTAACTACTTTTTTTTTCGGGGATGCTTTTCACATATTTCACAAATGCGCCGCACCCAGAACCGTGCAGTTTTAAAGATCAAACAAAGGTTCCGAGCGATGCTCAAAACCAAAACACACAGCTGTTGGTCATATAACAAGAAGAATACGCTTCCTACAGTCGGGTAAAAAGGAATAGGAATGTGACAAAAAAAGCAACTTACAACCTACTTACGAATGTCGTTACCCTCCTTAAATTTTCTTAATTGTTCCATTTCCTTATCAAGGTCATAGTCTCGTGCCCTAAAATGTGCTAAAGCGGCTCGAGCTTCAGCCAAATTTTTAGTTTTCAGCACAAAATACGGTGTCTCAGGCAAAAATAAGAATAACACGAAAACAGTCATTGTGTATACAGAGCAAATGTAGCAGAGCACAGTCCAATTCAGATATTTGCCAAGTCCAGCCTAGAAAAAAGTGACATAATATCAGACCTCGCATTCGTCGAAGGACCAAACGCATTTTTTTTACATTTTGCCAAATATATATAATAAACAAAAAGTTATTGAGGTATTTATTTTTATCAGGTGTTGTGATGTGTATTTGAGATGTAGTAGAGGAAAAGTAGGTGTAAGTAATGCAGCATAAATGAATACCTGTACAGTTATACCAATGGATACACCCAATGTAGAAATGGCCCCAACAACTCCACGCATATTAGGTAAAGACATTTCAGCGCAATATATCCTTGGCGGGCCCATGGCCAAACCGCATCCAAATCCTGTTAACGCCCGTCCTATAATTTTAAAGCGTTCAGTTAATATGAAGCTGAATATTATTCTAAATACTCCATATAGGTAACACTAATTAATAAATAAAAAAAATAACCTATAATAACTTGTTTAGGACTGTTAGCAAAGCCAGTGTACAACCATCCTGCACATATAGGAACTTGGCAGACGATGATCATAACTCGGCGACCGAGCCAGTCGGCGACATAGCCGCTGATCAAACACCCAATAGGGGAGAATAGAGTGAACACACTGGCTGAAACATATCATTCATTAAGACTTCAGTAAAGAAATGATGAACAGGAACTCGGGATATTTAATCAGGAACAATGCGACTTTCCCAAAGATTCTTTTATGGTTATTTAAGTTAGGAAACACCAACACACAGTACTTATAGAAAAGCATTCTATTAATATCTCACCGATCCAAGAACCTTCACTCCTCGTGATTTTTATGAAGGAATCTGCTGCAAACAGCTGGGGTACCTGAACGGACGGTAATCCATAGGCCAGGCCAATACCAAGGTGGCACAAATTCACCCAAATTCCATAGAACAACTGAATTTGTGACGTCTTTGTCCAAAATCCAGGATCTAATCTTATTTCTTTGTTTGCAACACTTGTCGATACTTGTTTTGATTTAAGCATTATATATGAAAGTGTTGAATATTATTCAAAACAATGACTACCATCCCATACGAGTGTATTTACAGGGACTTTCCCATGTATCATGACTAACGAATTCACTTTATCTCGAGTAACTTTGTAAATTATATAAAGTTCTTGTCAACTTTTAGTTTAGTATCATGTTCTTAGAATTTTCTATTACAAAAGTGTGCAAATAAAAAAAACTTCAAGTCTTTCTGACGTTTTTTGACATACCATTTATCAAAGTGGTGAATGAAACGGAATAAATTGCATTACTTATAAAAATTGTCTATAAAGAAGTTGATATACAAGTAGGATGGATAGAGGAGAAAGGGGTTGAAGGATGGAAGGGAGCTAGGAGTTTGCATGGCGGATTTTCTATTTTGAATGGCTCATTTAATAGTAGTAATAAATAAAACTACAACTTTCATAAGTCCACTACAGTAGGGTAAAAAAATAACAAGACCATTTTTATAGATTTAAAAAAGGTCTTGTGCATAATCTTGGCCTGATTTAATACCTTTAATATATACATTTTGACCTGAATGTTTTTAGATAATAACGTGCGTAACAACTTAGCAATAGATAAATCTATGAATGTCAACCACAAATCGGGATACGACCTGCAGCAAACCCTCAAGCTGATTCATCATCATCATCATCAGCCTGTATTCGTCCACTGCTGGACATAGGCCTCTCCAATAACACGTCACTGAGCTCGGTCTTCAGCTTTTCTCATCCAACCACTGCCAGGCACCTTGCGGATGTCGTCACTCCACCTAGCTGGAGCTGCATCAAGCTGATTATGATAATGAATGGCTTAATTATTTTACTGTTTTTTATACTTAGGATAAATATGTGGCTTTGTGTAGATGTTGTTGGCAAAGGTCGCAGTGAAGGTTGGCTTCACATTTTTCTTCTTCTGTAGCTTGTGGTGTATATTCTCTTCAACGTCCCCAAGGATCTTCAGAAGTGCCGACCGGGAAACCTCATTGAATTCAACGCCATCGCTCAATTTGCGGCTCTTTCCATCTGGACATATTTTGTGGGTGTTAGCAAAACTTATTTTTCATGTGAGTGTGCAAACACGTAAAGGAAGCATCTTATAATATAATATCTACTTATAGTCACTATGTAGGTATTTATATAATGCAAATTTTTATACCTACAAAATTATCTGTAGAATATTATTTTGAAAAAGACCAATTTCTAATCAAGACAAATTACCTATATTCAGTTTCCATATATTTTTATTGTTTAGTAGCTAGCTATACCTCGCCATAAATAAATTACTATAATTATTTTAGTTAACGTACCGGGATTCTGTGTTTGTAATGAACCACATAGAAATAGAAATAGGTAAAACAGTAGAACCAATTTCATGACTTCCTTATACTAACACATTACTCATTGAAGGTTTTACGACCTTTATCAGCTCCGATAATGATTTCACACTAACTACGGGTTCTCGATACAGAGTGGCACGATTATCGCATTCGTATCGTAACAGTATCGAGCGAGTTCGGCGTTCTGATTAGTTGGTTCACTGGAGCCGGCCAATCAGAACGCCGAACGCACTGGATACTATTAAGTTACGAATGCGATTTTTATTCGTACTTAGCACTCTGCTCTAGGCTCAACGAGAAATGAATTAACTGATTGCCTCGTGGCGCTATTTGTACCAACTGTGGCTACTGCAGTTCCGATTGCGTTTCCCCGATCAGGAAAAATGTTATTATTAGGGTTTTATTGGTATTCAAAGTTTTCTCAATTAGGACACCATGTTTCCACATTCCAGCACGTTTTGAAGATTATTTGCAGCTGTATAGCCGGTATCAGGTATGCGTCTTCCACCGAAGTCAATCCTATTTCTGACAGGGTCACTTCTAAATTATCCTAGAAATACAAGTGAAACAAGTGAAACAAGTGAATTTATTTCTGCAAATAGGCTACAAGGCAGCACTTTTACACGTCAATTTTATCAAGCGAACGATGAGGTCGACATTTCCTAACTGACTACTCTGAGAAGAAATGCCGAAACAAACTCAGAGGTCTGTCTCTTTTAAAGTCCAGACAATATGTATAACAGATTATGTGTGAGAACCGTGCCAGTTCTTTCTGTAGTGGGCTTTTGAGGAAAGAACTACAACAGTTTGAGCGGACCCGTTCTGAAGGCAGTACGCATGTGTCGGTTTACAGTCAGCTCAATTAACAGGTGAGGCTGACTGATTCGACGAACAATACCAACATTTGCGTGGGTCGCACAAATACTCAAACTGTCAGAAAAAGGGTAATTAGAAAAGAAATGGTGAGGCAAAGTCTCGCACGGTCCTAGCACTAACAATTGTTAAATAAAAAGTAAATGTCAAGTTAGAACAACATATGAAAAACAATGTCACATTAAAACAATAATGTCAAATTGCATATAAAAAAAGAAATGTAACTATATGTTACAAACCTGTCAACATGACCTATGTGGACGTTACAGCAGCTTATTCCCAAGCCAGACTATCATCTAGGTAGTCTTTTATTTTATAATAAGATTTACTATAAAATTTATCTTTAATGACATTTTTAAATTTATTTAGACTAAAATTTTGGATATGGCTGGGAATCTTATTGTAAAAGCGTATACTCTGACATCTAAACGAACCACTTATTTTCTTTAGTCTGGTAGTGGGAACAACATATTTGTCTTTATTTCTCGTGTTTATATTATGTATATCACTATGTTTTTTAAATAAACTTTTGTTTTTATGAGCAAATACTAAATTTTCATAAATGTATTGAGAAGCAACAGTCATTATAAATTAATTTCTTTAAATAGTTCCCTGAGAGAGTACCTCGGACTAAGATTATAAATTGATCGAATGGCCCTCTTCTGCAGAACAAAGATAGCACTTCTGCAGAACAAAGATAACATACATGGAGGTGAGCTGCTAAAGAGTTATAACAACTTTATTTTAATTAACCATATATAAAAACGTTATTATTATTATGTTATTCTCCATTTAACGGTTGCATACCCAAGTACACCTTAATATAAATTGATGGACGTTTCAGTATACCAGTTATATTTGAGACGTGCTTTTTAAGTTGCAATTAACTGAGAACTGTATTTGACGGACGTTCGAGTATTCTAGTGTCAGACAATCACAAAACCGATCTAATAGCTAGCAGTCATCAAACCTGGCTCAGATATTTAATACCTATTTCATTTTCTATCCAGCAGCTGTAGCCAAATGCCATTCAGCGCCTGTCTACATGTACACTAAAAAACCAAATTACATGGAATTGACGTAAATTTTGATACTTGTCAGTGTCTTCCCCATACATTTTGATTTCTACTCTCTCTGTAGACAAAAGTGGCGTTTGGCTAAAGGCCAAGGTTATTCTTATGAAAAAACTTGTAAAAATATTATTCTCTCAATAAGAATAATATTTTCACGGGTGGGGAGGGGGTATGTCCAGTGGAAGTTCCGTTTTTTGTTTCCGGAAGTTCCGGAAGAAATTCCGTTATTTTTAGCTAGAACCTCTGTTTGAGATATTCTACGTATCATAGTTATCATTAATTCGTTCTATTATATTGTGCCTATTACCGGAAGGGCAGACTCGAACTCTTAGTAGGGGATTTAAACAATTTCTCTTTTTTGCAACAACTGTTTGAAAATCACAGACTGCCTAGTTGACCGAGTGGTCGCAAGTTCAACTGCCGGGCAAGAGGTCTCGGGTTTGATTCCCGGATTGGGCAAAGTATTACTGGGTTATTAAAAAAATCTCACGTATCAAAAAGTAGCACGGAGTCTGGTAATATGCCCGGTATATGGCAATAGGCTCACCCTATTGTTTTTTCTTCTTCTCCT